ACTCTGCCCTGTCATCCAGATCATTAATGAAAATGTTAAGCATCATTGACCCCAGTGTCCACTCCTGGGGCACACCACTGGAGACTGGCCTCCAGCTGGACTTCGTGCTGCTGATCACAAGCCTTTGAGCCCAGGAGTTCAGCCAGTTTACAGTCTACCTCAGTGTCTGCTTAGCTAGTCTGTACTTCATCCATTTGTCTATGAGGCTGTTACAGGAGACAGTGTCAAAAGCCTTGCTAATGTCAAGATAAACTACATCCAAGTCTTCCTTGCCTTCGACTTTCCACAGGTCTCAGGGGCCCTAGATACCTTAAGGACCATCTTATCAGTAAAGGCTGAGGTGAAAAAGGCATTCAATGCCTCAGCCTTTTCTGTGCCCTTTGTCACGAGGATTCAAGGTGGGTTTGCCTCCAGGAGTGAATGGTGGAAAATGCTGCTGGTGGCCCAGGTGGCCATCTCTGCTCACTGCCAGGAAGCTGTTTCCATTTTGAGTAACTGACAGTCTTGCAGGGGTGGAGAATAAAAGAGGAAAGACCAGTTATCTCTGCCTGGTACAGGAGTGCAGCAGATAACATTATGTTGTTGTTCTTCCGAAACAGGCATTCAGGAGCTGCTCAAGTACAGCCCTGTAGAGAAGTGTTTTGCCCAGCCCAGCTCTTCTCAGCTTCTCCATCTGGGCTGCTGCTTGGCTCTCTGTATGGCTCACTGCAGCTGTGTTTGGAAGTGGCATCTGGCACTTTTGCATTGCAGATGTGTCATGGCACTTTGGGCCACACTGCAGCTCCTGGGAGCAGGACATGTATCAGAAACTGGCATCTCCTTGCTCTTGTAAGCTGAGGAGACCCTCATGTCCCACACAGCATTTGCAGAGCTGCCTTCTCTGACACCTGTGTGAGGAGGCAAGCCCAGCTTTTTGCCAGCTGCACCAGAACAGGCTCTCTGAGCCCTGGATAGGAGATGCTGTAAAAACCATGTTTCTTCCCCTTGCCTGGCCCTGAGTGTTTTTCGCCCAGCTCTGCCTTTGTTGTGGTGCTTTCTGCTCTTCTTGTTAAGAGGAAGGAGTGGAGATGCCTCCCTTCCCTCTGGCCAGTCCCCCTCCTTCACCTTCAGCCCTGGAGATTGGACGTGGCAGGCAGTCATATTGTCTCTCCCAGGAACAGATACAGCATTGTGTCTAGCAGAACAAAAAGTGGAGGGTGGTCAAGATGGTTGAAGTACCAGATGAGGAGTGAATAAACCAACCCTTTCCTTCCAGGAAGGTAGAGGAAGGAGGAGAAGTGGTGACTGGAAAACCTGCTACTTTAAGAAAAAAACAAGGAAGACTTGTAGCTGTAGACTGAGGTCCCTTCTGCCCTGCCATGCAAGCACAGGAGCTGAGCAAAGAGGCTGTGCCAGGATTGCTGATGGAAGAGGGCTACCGGTGGCTGGTTCCTACATTGTCCTGACAGCAGCGGAAGGGCAGATCCGGGCAAGCTGCATCAAGGCAGACTGCACTGGGGACCTGCTTGGAGGATAAGTGTCTCTGTAGTCCTTTTAGTACCTATACAACCACCTATGCATTCAGTATTAGGCCTGCATTTATACATAACACAGCATTTGGTGTGTTGAGAGCTTTGATGGAGAACTTCTAGGAATGGTGACCTCTTTCCTCTGCAAGGTTCTTCTTGTAGGCACCATAGCTTGCAGTGTCCAATAGCTGAGATCTGTCAGAGCCCTGGCCGTGCTGTTCTCATTAACAACCAGCTGGAAAATTGTCTCTTGCTGATGATCCACATCATGTCCGCTGCATGGCTTGTAGCAGACAGGCTGTACACACAGGGGCTTATTTTACTTAGTGAAGATGTGAGCTTTTTCAGTTGTAAATTGTAAGGTTTCAGTATGATTTGGTGGCACTGTGCCCTTGGTTTTCTCCAGTTCAGCCTCCTGTTCAGAGCAGGACTATTATGAACATTAGATCAAGGACAATATGGCTTTGCCTAATCAAGTCATGAAAGGATTTCTTGGGACAGAGACTTATCACTGCTCGAGCAACCTCTAGTGCAGAACATTTTTCCACACTCCTTCCCAACAAGTTTTTCCTAAAGTCCATGTGTCTGCTTTATTTGGGATCAGCGTCTCCCACTGTACCAGACGCAGACCAGATGCTGTGCCTATTCAGGCCGTTTTTCACCATATTTTATCCACGAGTTTTTTCTTTTAATGCTGAGCATTCTGCTGTGGCTGCAGTCATGTCAAGAGGGACACTGTTCTGCTGGGTTTGTCTTTGCCAATTTTATGATATTCCCAGTCATATCTTGCCCTGTTGTCTGAATTGTAAGTGCTTTGAAGTCCATTCCTGTGGCAGTTGAACCTTAATGCTACAAATTGAAATAGGAGAGAGCTGTCTTTCCTAAGCACTGTCCAAACTTGGGCATTTAATTCCTTTTATTCCCTTTATTCCTTATTTGCCGTTAACATTTTACAGGTAGTCTGCATGGGATGTCAGTATCTTGCTGTATGTTCCTGCTCTCCATAGGAATGATACTGGAATAATGAATACCTCCTGTGTGCTTGGCAACTCCTTTCTGCAGAGAAGCCTTGAACCTCCAGACCACACACTCTCTTCCACCTCAAGAGCAGTTTAGCTAGAAGTTCCTTGGAGCCAGGCAATTAATTTCTTTTTGTAAAGATAATGTTCCTGCTGTAAAAAGGAACTGCTGCATCCACACAATACGGTGATTTTTTTTTTTCCACTGGTGTGAGTAAACCTAACCACTGAAGCTGTAACGAGCATGAAGTTGTTTGAGAACGTTGCACCTCTGGGGCTGTTTGGGGAGCTAGCCAGTCGCATATAACCTCAGCTTTCTTTCTGCCCTTCTTCCAAGATTAGCTTTCCAAGACTGCTGCTTTCTTTTTTAAATAACTTGCATTTCTTTGTTTTTGTTTGAGATACATAACCCTCACTGTATCAGAGAACCTTTGCAACTAATGTTTTCTGCACAAGAAATTTAATCAGCTAAGAATATGGACAAATATAGGGTTAACATAGGTAAAACATACCAAGGTAAAAGTGAGCAACAAAAATCACTGTGAAAGCAACCGGTGATCTGCCAGGACTGATTTTTTACAGGCATGTGTGTTTGTCCAAGGTGGGGTTAGCTCTAAGCTGTGCCAGTAGATTGGGAGGAGGCAGGGAATAGGACAGGACTTGTGTTCTAGCTCCATTCAGAGCCCAAATCTTTCAGTGTGACATGGGATGTGAGTTTTGTGGATCTTTGTGTTGATGGGTGCTTCTAAAGCTCCTGTTTAACTGTCCAGGATCAAGCAATACAGATTCCTAGCATTTAATAGTCATCCCAGGAGCATGCAACACCATGCCAGCAACAAGGACATTTTGGTTTAGAATTGATTAGATCCCTGCTTGTCAGGTGATCATAGAATCATAGAATGGTTTATGTTGGAAAAGACCTTTAAGATAATCACGTCCAACTGTTAACCCAGCACTGCCAAGTCCACCACTAAGCCACATCCCTGAGCACCACATCCACCCATCTTTTAAATACCTCCAGGGATGGGGACTCAACCACTGCCCTGGGCAGCCTGGTCCAGTGCCTGACTACCCTTTCAGTGAAGAAATTTTTCCTAATATCCAACCTAAACCTCCCCTGGTGCAACTTGAGGCTGTTTCTTCTTGTCCTATCACTTGTTACTTGGAGAAGAGATCGACCGCCCGCTCCTCATAGGACTTATTCTCTAGACCCTTCACCAGCTTCATTGCCCTTCTTTGGACACGCTCCAGCACCTCAATGTCCTTCTTGTAGTGAGAGGCCCAAAACTGAACACAGTATTCAAGGTGCGGCCTCACCAGTGCCGAGTACAAGGGGAGTGATGATGCACTTGGCTTCTTTCCATTGAGTGCATGCTTCCCTTCAAACGCTTACCCATGTGAGTGAGTGGTCTAAGTCTTGCTGTAACTCAAATGCTGCTTGGCTGGGTTTCCCTCTCAAACTGGAGTATTGTTGACCCAGCATCACTGATAATAACGTTCACCAAATGCACGTTAAACAGATCAATATGGGGCAAAATCAAGCCCTCTTCCAGTCTTTGCCCATACTTCCAGCTGATTGTGTGGGGTGGGCTTTCACCCATATCCTTCTTGCCTGATCTGCATTTCTTTTCCTTTGGTCAGTAGGATCTTCTCACCATCCCTGCCATGAACCTTTCACTGTCTAGGTCTTGTGGAAAGAGCAGGAGTTAATAGTCTGAATTGCCTTTTCTGCCCAACACTGGTAGTTTCCTACTTGAAATCAGTTGCATCAGTTCCATTAAGCTTCACTGCTCTCTGTGGGAAGGGATTCTTGTGTTTAGTGTGCTTTATGTATCTCATTTAAACACCATTTAAAATGCTGTCTGTCAGAGGGCTGTGGTGCAGTTATAAAACAGATGTGCAGAACATCACTGGCAGTGGGAAAAAACCCAACAGGTGACTGTAACTATTCCTCTGATCTGTCAAACCTCTTTTTTCCCTTGAAGTGAGCAAAATTAGACCCCTTTTATGGTTCTAAACCACTTGAGGGCTAAATGAAGCATGTATCCAGACTGGGTCATTCACTCGCCATCTTTCAGGCTTTCCTCACCCAAGATGTATCTTTCATGCTTCCTGAGCTCTGTGCTACCAGGATTCGTCTCCTCTTAAAGTTGCTGCCATGTGGCCCTGCCCCAGGGATAGGGACTGCTGGTGCATGCACAACCCAGCTGGATGGTGGTGGAGAGAGCTGTCTTTTCTCCCTTGCACTCTCCTCTCTCCATCAGAGATGTGCAACGGGTGCAGAGACAGGTCATACCAAAGTGGTGAAGACCAGCAGAGAAAAATGTGGCTGCTGCTTGCTGGCTGAGGATTGGTGCAAGGAGCCCAAATGGGGAGGGTGAGCTTGTGCTGGGGAGAGGGGAATGGGGGTCTGCAAGCCTTGCTGGGACAGCTGGTCCTTATGTCATGGGGTGTTGTGTTTCTCCCCTTGCAGATGTCGTGGCACCCACAGTACCGGAGCTCCAAGTTCCGCCACGTGTACGGCAAAGCTGCCAGCAAGGAGAAGTGCTATGACTGCGTGCCCATCACCCGCAACGTCCACGACAACCACTTCTGTGCCGTGAACCCCCACTTCATTGCGGTGGTGACCGAGTGTGCGGGTGGCGGGGCCTTCCTCGTCATTCCCATCCACCAGGTGAGCTCTGCTGAGGCGAGATGGCTTTTGTGAGTGTGTCAAGGGGCTGGAGGAGAGCTGGGCTTTCCAGGGAGCTAGAACGCGCAGAGGATATTCTGTTAATGCTGTTGCCCAAATTGCAAAATGACGGAAGGGGCCGCAGATGCCCTGGCAGGTGATTCCTGGGATGTGTGTACTTATATGTCTTACATTGCTGCTTGGAGTTTTTTAACACCTTTCTTCATTTCATATCTCATTTGCCTTTCTTGTATAATCAGCGGGAACTGTGCTGTTCAGATGTTTGTCTCCTAGGAGAAATTGCAAATAAAAAAGCAGTTATTAGATACAGAGGGCAAAAGCACCTTTCAGTTGAAAGGTGCTTTAGTGGCATGGCTTCAGCTGTGACCAAAGGAGAATATGGTATGTTTTGCTCTACATTCTCCTTTGTGAAAGAATGGAGACACAGTTATCAAGCAATGAAGCCCTTAAGCTTCAAGCACTGATGCTGGAAAAACTTCCCTTTCAGAAACAAATCCCATGTTTATGAGTTTTGATGACATAGGGATCTGATGAGAGGGAGAAGCTGTGTGATGTTTATTGCTCCAGAAAAATAAGGCATGTGCTAATGTGGATTAAGTTCAACATGAGATTATGAGCTCTCTGGAATCAGGGCAGAACAGATGAAAGACAAAAGTTCAGCCTTTAATTAAAAGTTAATTGATGGTGTTATTGCAATGCCACTTTTTCAATATATATTTGCTAAGGATGAAAATGAACTGGCTATGCTTGAAGAACCCAGCACAGTTCCCAGCCCTTCTAGACTTTGTTTATTCAGCTCCTTCAACACTGGTGCTGTTCAGAGATGGTTCTTCTAAAATTAACCACTACCCTTTTTTTCTTCACTGAGTCACTTCTCCCCCCTCGACCATGATCTGTTGAGGCTGAAGAACTTGTCTTTGTCACAGAGGTGCATCTATAAGCAGGCAGCTGGTGACTGTAGGAAGTGGGGTGGGACCTAGCTCTCAAAGTGCTGGCAAAACAAGCTGAAGGTGCTTGCACTGCTTACTATTAATTCTTCTGTCTTCTCACTTCTTCTCAACTTGGCTAGTCTTTAGTAGCAATTCTTCCATTCTTAACACCTGCTCAGATACTCCACCCACATCTGAAATACTGCTTGCAGAAGTCAAAGGCATGGTAGAACTAGAAAATATAGAAAAGGATAATTAAAGTACGTCAATGAAAACGCGAAATTGCTTTCATGTGAGAAAAGACTTTGTGGGTTAGGCTTCAATCAGCCTGGGAAAAAAGACAAATGAGCGAGATACATAAAACTGTGAAGTGGGTGGGGAAGAAGCGCAAGGAGCAGTTCTTCTTGGTTTGTGTGGTGAAGGGGATCCTGGAGACCAGGGAGCAGACAGCTAGCAGCGGATGTGAATGCTTCTGCAGTTCAGATGTTGAGCTCACTGCTCTGGATGCTGATGAGCCCAGAAGAATTAAGGTGTTCAAAACAGGATAGAGTTATGGAGAAGAGCTGGTTTATGAACTGTATTTGTTCAGAGGCAGGTCCCCTAGTTCAGGAAGTCCCTTGAGGGTTGACCTTTGGTGGTGGATCAGGGAAAGGATCTGTATGTGCTGCACTTCATACAGCCATTCTCTGAATACCTGTTCCTGACCCATGCTGGGGGGGAAAAGTGGCCTCAGCCACCCACAGAAAGGGGTTCCCTGAGTCTGAGGGCTGCGATACCAGCTACTTTTTTCATGATACACTTCCAAACTGGTGCCACCTGGTGAAAAGTGGCAGCTTTCAACTTGTGCTCCTGATGGTGGTGTTTGTGGCTGCCACCTCCTCCTGTGGTGGTGACCCATAGCAGACAGAGTACTGGACTCTTGGCTTGTGCCCCTGGCTGCCAGGGCACTGAAGGCAGCCCGGTCTGGAGATGTGTGCCTAGGACAGTATTGCCCTCTCATGATGGACAGCTGATCTGTGTTTACTTTTGACTGGATTCACAGGGCACAGCCGTATCCCAAGCATGCCACAGTGCGGAGGAAAAGCCCAAGAGCCAGGACATCATGTTTAGCCAAAGTGGGAGACGGTAGCTGGGACAGAGAGGGCTGCGCTTTCCAGGGAGGATGAACAGCCTGCTTGGGGAGCTGCTCTTGTCCCTCCAATCCTTTTCTGAGTTCATTCTGTGTGTGCTCCTGGAGGGGCTGCCTGCCTCGGGATGTGCTTGAATGCAGGCTCAACGTCACTCTATTTAACCATGCCTCCTTGCTTGTTTGTTGTGCTTCTCTCCTGATGAGTCATGGACACGAAGCTCTCTCATCTGTCCTTGAATAAATACTGCTTCTTGCCTTCTGTACCATTCTTCCTCTCTGAGAGCCTGGGGGTGAGGTAGGGTTGGGGGCCTTTGCCATAGATACCCTCCTTTCAGCAGGCCTTTGCATTCAACCTGAAGAGGAATTAGTAGAATATTTGCCACCCCTTGGAGAATGGTATTCTGTTGCAGGAAGTGTCAGTTAGGTCCTCATGAAGATGTGCCATTGGGTGGAACGGCAGCACATCTCACCAGATGGGAAGTGGCTGTGGCCACAGGGGCTGCCTGGTGCCCAGAACAGACTGAATGCCTTTGTAAATGTGCAAGTCCGAAGAGACACGGGCTCAGTGCCTGTAACTGGGAGATGAGCTGCTTTCGCACAGCGTGGCCTGGGTGTAGATTTGTGTCTGACACAGATGTGTTGGGGAAGTGCACGCACTGCATGCCAAGGAAGGATCTTGACTCAGAGGGCAATTTTGTGGCCTTCCTTTGAAAGACAAAGGCCGGGCTTTTTCCTTCTTCGATGACCAGACTTGGTTGAGACTACATCTGTCTCTGCAGCATAAAGCAAAGGGATAGCAAAATGAGAACAACGTCCCAAGAGGCAGGGACATATTTGTGCCCAAGTCTTTGCAGTGTCCAGTCTTCCAGTGTGTCAGCACCAGGTGTGAAAGGGAGGACATCTGTGGTTGTGTAGACCTCCTAGACACAAACCTTCCTCCCTTCTCTCTGGGGGCAAGAACTATGAAATGAAACGTGTGATGACTCCTCAGGCCTTACCTAACTGACACCATATGTGAGTGCTGTGCCATGATGTGATGACAAGGTGTGTTGGTGCCCTTTGGAGAACATCTGAGAAGTGGGGCTGACCCATCTCATGGTAATCTATCCTGTACAAATCTGCTTGGAGAGTTTTGATAGCTGTCCCACAAGAAGTGGTTTTCATCAAGGAACTCCGAGTTTAGCTACTTTTCAAAAACACTGTGAGTTTAGAAAAAGAGTGGTTGAAAAATTACTCATTTTCAAGCTCTGCAAATAACTGTGGAAGTCAGGTGCCTCTGCATGAATGACAACACATCAAGTTACTGAAATAGTTTTTGATCTGTGGAATGAAATTTGCCCCGCACACGAGGAGCTTTACTTCTACATGCAGATATGCATCTGAGACCAACAGCCCTGCCTGCCATATTTGTTTGTTGGCAGCCTGGGGGTTCACGTGTTGTGGGTCCTGCTTTGTCCCAGGGCTGCTGGGTTGCATTGGGGCAGGTGGGACTGGTGGCTGGGAGGGCAAGGGCTCATTTTCCAGGGCCAGTTGAGCCTGCTGGGGACATGGGGGTAGGAGAACCTTGCAGGATGGGGCAGGCAGAGCAGGCTCAGGGCAGCTTGGGAGTCTCCCAAATGGAGCGGGGAGCAGACAGGCAGCCAGCTCTGGGAGGGGACTGAGTTCCCATAGGGATCAAGGGATCTGTGTGGAGCTGGCTGCCCAGCCCATTGAGTTGCCAGCTTGAAACCAAGCCCTGAAGCCTGCAAAAGGACACCGTGGGTGGGGGAACACTGCTTATTAAAGGGCTTTTATCTCTCTTCTGCTTTCCCAAGTCACTTTGTATTGTTGCTGTTATAAAAGGGAATTGTTTTAGACTGTAGTCTAAAAAAGCACAGTCTTTTACATTTCAAAGCCCTCTGGGTGTTCAATTTAAAGCAGGTTAGTCCCAGTCTATGTGACAAACTTTCCAGTGAAGCCAGAATAGTTACATATTGTGTCCTGTTCTGCATTCAAAACTGTACAAATTTTCAAGTCTGGGAAAATTACATCCTAGCCCCATGCAGGTTAGGGCCAGCACCGTTTCCCATCTGCTGTGCACCCTTAAGGCCCACCTCTGGAGAGGTGCAAGGAATACACCAACAGAAGTGTCTGCTTTCCAGGAGAGCATGCATTTGCATTCATTTTGATTTACAATTCTTCCAGGTGGGATAAAAGTAAGCAGGTAAGCATCACCAGCTTGCCACCGTCTCTCTCCTTAGGTGACTGACCTTTGCTCTTGGACAGATGTCTGGGATGCAAAGTGGTTCCTGGAGTTCCCCGTACTTCTCCTGCTCCTGACAGGGAGAAGAAAGTGCTGCTCCAATGTTAAATAAATTCCCCAGCACCCTTCCTAGCACATAATAAATATACCGACTTCACTGTAGCAGAGACTGTGCCTACAGTATGGGTTTATCCTGATGCAACACAGCCCCCACGTGGCAGAAGGTCCTCAATACTCCTTAGTGCACTTTGTGCAGGATTTTTACCAGGGAAGATGCCGCCCAAACACAGCATTTTTTTTGAGAGTCCAGAATGCTGATTGAATCCAGTGAACGGCTGGATTTGAACACCATCAGTGAGAAACAGCAGGCTTGTTGAAAGAAAAAGAATCATTTGTAATTTGTGTCACAAATGTCTTTTTGCTTAAAAAATAAAATAAATGCTAGCTGATGAGGCTAAAAAATAAAAGCTAAAACATTTTTTTTTTCTGCTTACAAGAAATGTCCTCTGAAAGAGATTCTGATTTTTTTCCCCCAAGATCTTTAAAAAATGTGGAAGATTCAACTTATTCATAAGTGTTTCCCCTCTAAGTTTTATTCTGGTGTCTGAACCAAATACTGTCTTCTAACTTCAGCAGTCTTGATTGCTGCATGTGTACAGATTTCTTGATAGCAGTGTGTACTTAGGAAGGCCTGAGCACTTCTTTCTTTTCAGTGGTGTCATCAAGACTTGCCTTGCAGGGACAGCAAAACCCCATTCTCAACAGATAGAGAGCACCCAGGGCATTTGGAGCATAACAAGCAGAAAGACGTTTCTTGCTGGAGCTGGCTTGGATCTTTCTTGAAAATGTCCTGTAATTCTGTGGCTCACCTTAGGTTTGATGATATTTGTTTCTTCCAGACAGGCAAGCTCGACCCACATTATCCCAAAATATGTGGGCACAAAGGGAATGTTCTGGACATCAAGTGGAACCCATTCAATGACTTTGTAATAGCTTCATGTTCAGAAGATGCCACAGTAAGTTTACCACCTTGTATTCTGCATTATTACCTGGCTAATGTGCTTTTTGGGGAAAGAAATAAAAAAGAAACCACAAGGCCCGTCGACAATATGTGAAAGCATATATATACTTATAAAAAAGTCAAGTAAGAGTAAGATTCCTGTCTTCGTCTTGAGGTCAGACCTGTGTGATCCCTTCCAGATCATGTACCAAAAACAGTGTGAGGAGGAAGATCTGTTTTGTGGGGGCTTGCATCTTTTTGGTTGTGTTTGCATGAGAAAAACAGAATATGAATTTAAAATAGAATGACTATTCAAGTTTAATTGCTGTGAAACTCCTTCTTTACTTTAGAATAAAGGCTTCAACACGACATAATCTGGAACAGCTATTTCAGATTAATTCCCTGCAGAGCAAGTTCGAGCTTACTCCTGCAAGCAGTTATGCTGTAAAGTCATGCTAGATCAGTTATGGGGTAGCTGAGGAATCTGCGTCATGCTATTCTGCAAAAGGCATAAATGAAATGA